GTGAGTTGAATTACTGTGTGCTTCCTCTCTCACATGTGCTTCCTCTCTCACATGTGCTTCCTCTCTCACATGTGCTTCCTCTCTCACATGTGCTTCCTGTCTCTCACATGTGCTTCCTCTCTCCATGTTACGCTTCCTCTCCTCACATGTGCTTCCTCTCGCACTTGTTGCTTCTTCTCTCTCACTATGTGGCTTCCTCTCTCACATTGCTTCCTCTCTCACATGATCTTCCTCCCCTCACATGTGCTTTCCTCTCCACATGTACTTCCTCTCTCACATTTATTCCTCTCATCACATGTGCTCCTCTCTCACATGTGCTTCCTCTCTCACATGTGCTTCCTCTCTCACATGTGCTTCCTCTCTCACATGTGCTTCCTCTCTCACATGTGCTTCCTCTCTCACATGTGCTTCCTCTCTCACATGTGCTTCCTCTCTCACATGTGCTTCCTCTCTCACATTACTGAACTCTCCTCACATGTGCTTCCTCTCTCACATGGGCTTCCTCTCTCACATGGGCTTCCTCTCTCACAAGTGCTTCCTCTCTCACATGTGCTTCCTCTCTCACATGTGCTTCCTCTCTTCACATGTGCTTCCTCTCTCACATGTGCTTCCTCTCTCACATGTGCTTCCTCTGCTTCTGAGTGGGGCGCCTCTCTCACATGTGCTTCTCTCTCACATGTGCTTCCCTCTCACATTGCTTCCTCTCTCACATGTGCTTCCTCTCCACATGTGCCTTCCTCTCTCCACATGTGCTTCCTCTCACATGCTTCCTCTCTCTCACATGTGCTTCCCTTCCTCTCTTCTCACATGTACTCTCTCTCACATGTGCTCCTCTCCACATGTTCTTTCCTCTCTCACATGTACTTCGCTCTCATCTCATGTGCATCCTCTCTCACATGTTCTTCCTGCTCTCACTTGTCTTCCTCTCCTCACATGTGCTCCTCTCTCACATGTGCTTTTCCCTCTCTCACATGTGCTTCCTCCTCTCACAATGTGCTTCCCGCTCTCACATGTACATCTCCTCATATTTGCTCTCTCTTACATTGTGCATCCTCTCTCACTTGTGCTTCCTCTCTCACATGTGCTTCCTCTCTTCACATACTTCCTCGCTCACATGTGCTTTCCTCTCTTCACATGTGCTGTCCACTCTCACATGTGCTTCCTCTCTCACATGTACTTCCTCTCCTCACATGTGCTTCCTCTTCTCACATGTGCTTCTCCTCTCTCACATGTCTTCCTCCTCTCACTGATGCTTCCTTCTCACATGTACTTCCTCTCTCACCTGTGCTTCCTCTCTCTCAACATGTGCTTCCTCCTCAAACATTGCTTCCTCTCTCTCTCTCATGTGCTTCCTCATCTCACATGTGCTTCCTCTCTCACATGTGCTTCCTCTCTCACATGTGCTTCCTCTCTCACATGTGCTTCCTCTCTCACATGTGCTTCCTCTCTCACATGTGCTTCCTCTCTCAAATGTGCTTCCTCTCCCACATGTGCTTCCTCTCTCATATGTCCTTCCTCTGTTACATGTTGTGCTTCCTCTCTCCCATGTGCTTCCTCTCTTATATGATGTGCTTCCCCTCTTACATGTGCTTCCTCTCTTACATGTTGTGCTTCCTATGTTACGTGTTGTGCTTCCTATGTTACATGTTGTGTGCTTCCTCTCTTACATGTGCTTCCTCTCTTACATGTTGTGCTTCCTATGTTACATGTTGTGCTTCCTATGTTACATGTTGTGCTTCCTCTCTTACATGTTTTGCTTCCTCTCTTACATGTGCTTCCTCTCTTACATGTGCTTCCTATGTTACATGTTGTGCTTATTCTCTTACATGTTGTGCTTCCTCTCTTACATGTTGTGCTTCCTCTCTTACATGTTGTGCTTCCTCTCTTACATGTTGTGCTTCCTCTCTCACATGTTGTGCTTCCTCTCTTATATGTTGTGCTTCCCCTCTTACATATTGTGCTTCCTCTCTTACATGTGCTTCCTCTCTTACATGTTGTGCTTCCTCTCTCACATGTGCTTCCTCTCTCACATGTGCTTCCTCTCTTACACGTTGTGCTTCCTCTCTCACATGTGCTTCCTCTCTTACATGTTGTGCTTCCTCTCTCACATGTGCTTCCTCTCTTACACGTATGCTTCTCTCTCACAGTGCTTCCGCTCTACACGTTGTGCTTCTCTCTCACATGTGCTTCCCCTCTCTTACATGTTGTGCTTCCTCTCTCACATTAGTGCTCCTCTCCTTACACTAAGTGCTGTGCTACCCTCTCTCACATATGGCTTCCTCTCTTCACATGTTGTGCTTCCTCTCTCACATGTGCTTCCTCTCTTACATGTGCTTTCTCTCTTACATGTTGTGCTTCCTCTCTCACATGTGCTTCCTCTCTTACATGTTCTGCTTCCTCTCTCACATGTGCTTCCTCTTTTACATGTTGTGCTTCCTCTCTTACATGTTGTGCTTCCTCTCTCACATGTGCTTCCTCTCTTACATGTTCTGCTTCCTCTCCCACATGTGCTTCCACTCTTACATGTTGTGCTTCCTCTCTTACATGCTGTGCTTCCTCTCTTACTTGTTGTGCTTCCTCTCTTACATGTTGTGCTTCCTCTCTCACATGTGCTTCCTCTCTTACACGTAGTGCTACAATCTTCTCACATGTGCTTCCTCTCTTACATTTTGCGTCCTCTCTCAATGTGCTTTCCCTCTCTTACATGTGGCTTTCCTCTCTTACATGTTTTGTGCTTCCTCACTCACATTGCTCCTCTCTACATTTCTGCTTCCCTCTCACCAACATGTGCTTCGCTCTTTTTACAATATGTGCTTCCCTCTCTTACTTGTTGGCTCCTCTCTCACATGTGCTTCCTCTCTTACATGTTCTGCGTCCTCTCCCACATGTGCTTCCACTCTTACATGTTGTGCTTCCTCTCTTACATGCTGTGCTTCCTCTCTTACTTGTTGTGCTTCCTCTCTTACATGTTGTGCTTCCTCTCCACATGTCTCCCAACACCTACATGTTGTTGCTTCCCTCTCTTACATTCTGTGGCTTCCTCTCTTACTTGTTGTGCTTCCTCTCTTACATGTTGTGCTTCCTCTCTCACATGTGCTTCCTCTCTTACATGTTGTGGTTCCTCTATTACATGTTGTGCTTCCTCTCTTACATGTGCTTCCTCTCTTACATATTGTGCTTCCTCGCTTACATGTTGTGCTTCCTCTCTTACATGTTGTGCTTCCTCTCTTACATGTTGTGCTCCCTCAATTACCTGTTTGTGCCTTCCTGTCGTACATGTTGCGCTTCCTATGTTGTCATGTTGGTGCTTCTCTATTACATGTTGTGCTTCCTCTCTTACATGTTGTCCTTCCTCTCTTACATTTTGTCCTTCCTCTCTTACATGTTGTGCTTCCTCTCTTACATGTTGTGCTTCCTCCTCTTACATGGTTGCCTTCCTCTAGTACATGTTGTGCGTCCTGTCTTACATGTTGTGCTTCCTATGTTGCATGTTGTGCTTCCTATGTTGCATGTTGTGCTTCCTATGTTGCATGTTGTGCTTCCTCTCTTACATGTTGTCTTTCCTCTCTTACATGTTGTGCTTTCTCTCTTACATGTTGTCCTTCCTCTCTTACATGTTGTGCTTCCTCTCTTACATTTTGTCCTTCCTCTCTTACATGTTGTCTTTCCTCTCTTACATTTTGTCCTTCCTCTCTTACATGTTGTCCTTCCTCTCTTACATGTTGTGCTTCCCTCTACATCTTTGGTTCCTCTCACATTTGTCCTATCCTCTCTTACATGTTGTGCTTCCCTCTTACATGTTTGCTTCCTCTCTTACATTTTTCCTTCCTCTCGTACATGTTTGCCTTCCCTCTCTTACATTGTGCTTCCTCTCTTACATTTTGTCCTTCCCTCTTACAGGTTGTCTTTTCTCTCTACATTTTGTCCTCCTCTCTACATTTTGGTCCTTCTCTCTTACATGTTGTGCTTCCTCTCTTACATTTTGTGGTTCCTCTCTTACATTTTGTCCTTCCTCTCTTACATGTTGTCTTTCCTCTCTTACATGTTGTGCTTCCTCTCTTACATGTTGTGCTTCCTCTCTTACATTTTGTCCTTCCTCTCTTACATTTTGTCCTTCCTCTCTTACATTGTTGTCTTTCCTCCTTCTTACAGTTGTCCTTCCTCTCTTACAATGTGTCTTTCCTCTCTTACATGTTTTCCTTCCTTCTCTTACTTGTTGTCTTTTCCTCTCTTACATTTTTGTCCTTGCCTCTCGTACAATTTGTGCTTCCTCTCTTACATTTTGGGTTCCTCTCTTACATTTTTGCCCTTCCACTCTACATGTTTGTACTTCTCTCTTACATGTGTGCTTCCTTCTCTCTTACATTTTGTGGTTCCCTCTTACATTTTTGTACTTCCTCGCTACATGTTGTAACTTCCCTCTCTTACATGTTTGTGCTTCCGCTCTTACCTGTTGTCCTTCCTCTCGTACATTTTGTCCTTCCTCATACATAGTTGTGCGTCCTCTCTGTACATGTTGTGCCTTCCTCTCTTACATTTGTTCCTTCCTCTCTTACATGTTGTGCTTCCTCCTTCATTTTTCTTTGGTGTTTCCACTCTTAACATTTTGTCCTCCTCTCTTACATGTTGTGCTTCCTCTCTTACATGTTGTGCTTCCTCTCTTACATGTTGTGCTTCCTCTCTTACATGTTGTGCTTCCTCTCTTACATTTGTCCTCCTCTCTTACATTATTGTCCTTCCCTCTCTTACATGATGTCTTATTCCCCTCTTAAATGTTGTCCTTCCTCTCTTACATGTTGTCCTTTCCTCTCTTACATTGTCTTTCTCTCTTACATGTTTCCGTCCCCCTTACATTTTCGGCCTCCGCTACATGTTGTCTTTCCTCGCTTACATATTGTCCTTCCTCTCTTACATGTGTGCTCCCCTCTCATTACACATGTTGTCCTTCCTCTCTTACATGTTGTCCTTCCTCTCTTACATGTTGTCTTTCCTCTCTTACA